AAGTGGAGAGCAACTGTTTTGAGAATAATGAGGGCAATGAGTGTACAAATGTGCTTTACACAATTGATGTATGTATGGATTGTGATAAGAGTTGTATGAGCCCCTAATAAAACAATTTTAAAAATATCCAATCTTAATTAAGAAAACACAGTTGCCATCTACTCAGCTCTGAATTGTGGTGGCCCTGCGGATCCTGGATTAGAACAGTGCCCCAGGGGTTACAAGGGCTGGTTTTTTAGAAGTGGATTTGTAGGTCTTTTCCCCCACTCTCAAGTGATGCCAGATGCGTACATCAGTTCAGTATGTATCGTAACAGATCCAAATGGGTAAATAATCAGTGCACATTTGGTATATGCAGTACACAAAGTTTTTATTTATTCTCTCATAGTTTTTGTCAGTAAAGAAGGCACAAGATAATGTATTTGGACAGAACCTGGCTTTTGTAGCTAAGCTTTGTATTTAAGAATTTTATTAATTTGAAGAGCCTAAGATTTGATAAAGACCTAAGAGGAATGGATGCATTTGAATTGTGCTGGAGAAGAATACTGAAAGGACCATGGACTGCCGGAAGGACAAACCGATCGCTGTTGGAAGAAGTCCTGCCAAGTGCTCCTTCGAGCAAGGATGGCAAGACTTGGTCTTACCTACTCCAGACATATTGTCAGGGGAAGGCCCTCCATGAGGTGGATTGACAAGCGGCCGCAGCCATGGGCTCCAGCTGGGAACAAGGTCGGGGTGGCTTAGGGCCACGCAGTGTTTCCTTCTGCTGTGAATAGGGTCACTGTGGATTGGAGCTGACATCTAACAACAACTACAAAAATCAGAGGTTGCACAGTGGTTAAGTGCTCAGCCGCTAACGGAAATGCTAGTTGTTTGAACCCGGCAGCTGCCGCTCAGGAGAAAAACCTGGCAGTCACTTCCAGAGGTACTAGAACTTTGGAAATTCTCGGGCAGCTCCACTCTGACCTGGAGGGTAAATATAAGTCCAAATCCACTCACCAGCTGTGGGTGAAGTTTGATACTATTTAGATCTATATGTAGAAATAATAGTAAACAAGCTAGTTCTGCTAGCATTCATTTGACACACCGAGTACAGATTTTATATTACTCATAACACTGCTGTCTGATGGGTTCCTACTCAGTGCCCCAGTAGGACAGGGAAAAGCCACTCTAGATTTCCTGAGACGGAAAATCTTTCCAGGAAAACACAGTCTCGTCTTTCTTCCAGGGAGCAGTTGGTGGGTTTGAACTTAGCCTTGGAGTTTGCAGCCCAGCACATAAGCCACACCACCACCAGGGCTCCTTTGTGACTCATCATGTGATATAAATGAATTGTCATGACAATTTTTATAGTTAGAAAAGATAGAAAAAAGAGCAGTTAATCATTTAGAGTCGTGGGTGGTGCAAGTCCGTTCAGCGTCTAACCAGAAGGTTGGAGGGTCAAGCCTACCCTGAATGGCCTTGGAAGAGAGACCTGGTAATTTACCTGGGAAACTCTTAGGGCCTAACATGCACAGCAGCACTTTCTATGTAAGTTGTTGGTAAATTCTGAAGAGTTGTCTGCCCCGCCCCCACCCCACCACCCCGCCCCCCATTTTCTGTTCTCTCCAGCTCCTCCCCCTTTCCCTTCCTTGTTCCTCATTTATTTCTTTTCTTAACCTGAAGCCCAAAGTTAAAGGTGAGAAGAAAGGACATCAACATTTGGGGCATAATTATAAAAGGGAATAAGGAATTCTTGTATTGAAAACTTCAAAGTCTCATTTATCTTTTTACAATTCAGTAATCTCTGCTCGTTCCCCTATTTCTTCCACTCCGTAGTCAGTACCTCTTTGGATGGTCTTGTCCAGGCTGCTGTCCGTGGGCCTTCTGAAGTCAGTGAGCCAACGAAAGAGCCCACGGAGCAGCCAGAAGCTCCTGGTCAAAGGAGAAACAAGAAGACAAGACTTCCCCTTGGTATGTGAAGAAACCAACACTGGGTCTGATAATGGTTGTAATTGTGGTGATAAAAACCTGTCTGTTCTAATGTGCCCCTCATTATATCTTAGAGGGTTGTTTCCTGTTTGTTTGGGGGTTTTTTGACTACTAGAATAACTCCCAAGGGTTAATAAGTCAGTAACATTTTAGATCTCTTTTTGAGCATATGTGACATAGGTTATGAGGGAAAGGTCCAGTCAGGACTAAAGTAAAGTTCACGGGCAGAACACGGTGCACGTCACGTCTGATTGGTAGAAAGGAACTTCTTTGTTAACATCACTGTTGGTGGTGGGGCGTTTCCATAGGAACCCTGTGGACAGCAGACTGAAACACTGCCCAGTCCTGCGCCATCCTCACAATTTTTATTTTGTTTGAGCCCATTGTTATAGACGGAACCGATCATTTCAGCAGCCACTGTGTCAGTCCATGTCACGGAAGGCCATCCTCCTGTCACTGACCCTCCCCCTTAGCAAACATGACAGCCCTCTCCAGATTGATCTTTCCTGATACCATGTCCAAAGTACATGCAACAAAGTCTCGCTATCCTAAGGAATTTTCTGGCTTGACTTCCTCCAAGAGGGATTTGTTTGTTCTTCTGGCGGTCCATGGTACTTTCGGTATTCTTTGCCAACCCCAGAATTCAGATGGATCAGTTGTTCTGTTTCCGTCTCCGTTGTCTGTCGCATGCATATCAGGGGTTTGAAAATACCATGGCTTGAATTAGGGACACCTTTGTCCTCAAAGTGACATCTTTGCTCTTTAACACTGAAAGGAGCCCTGTGTAGCACATTGTCCCAATGCAATATGTCATTTGATACCTTGCCTGCTGCTCCCATTAGCATTGACTGTAGATCCAAGTACAATGAAATCCTTGACAACGTCAGTCTTTTCTGCTTATTACGATATTGCATATTGGTCCAGTTGTGAGGATTTGCTTTTCTTGACATAGAGTTGCAGGCTGTGTTAGTCTGGGTGGACTAAAGAAACAAATTCATAGAGACTCATGTGAATAAGAAAGAGTTTTATATACAAGAGCAGTTAAATAGTAAGGAAACATCCCAGCCCAGTCCAGATCAAGTTCATAAGTCCGATATTAGCCCATATGCCCTATATCAATCTATAAAGTCCTCTTCAGACTCATGAAACATGTGCAATGATGCTGAATGCAGGAAGGTCACAGGCCAGTGGGATAGAAGTTTTCTGGGTCCAGTGGCAGGTGTTGTAAGCATCTCAGCACTGGCAGGGGTCTCCACATGGTTTCTCCAGCACCCAGGGCTGCATCAGGGTAGGACTGTGTGACTTCTCCATCTCAGGGCACTCTTGTAGTTCCATATATCTTGTCAGCTGCAATGTCTCCCAAAGGGTGAGTGTGTCTTCTGCCTCCTAAGAGGAAATCCAGGAATTCCCAGAATTCTCAGGAGGAGGCCATGCCCACACAGAGGCCTCATTGGCTATGATCCGACTGACAGACTAGACTCCACCCCTTCACTCTTAGTGTTATCCAGTCCCAAACTGACACCAGATTATGTAACTACTACACAAGCCATACTGTAGACCGTGGTTCTCAACCTTCCTCATGCCTCTAACACAGTTCCTCATGTTGTGGTGACCCCCAATCATAAAATTATTTTCATTGCTACTTCATAACTTATTTGGCTACTGCTGTGAATCAGGCGACCCCTGTGAAAGGGTCGTCTGACCCCCAGAGGGGCCGTGACCCACAGGTTGAGAGCCGCTGCTGTGGACAGTGCTCTTGATCTTCATCAGTAGGTTCTTCAATTCCTCTTGATTTTCGGCAAGCAAGGTTGTGTCTTTTGCATATCTCGGGTGCTGACGAACCTCCCGTTAGGCCCGATGCTGCATTCTTCTTCGTGCCGTCCCGTTGCATAGATATTTGCTCAGTAGATCGCGCGCTGCTCCCTGCACACTCACGTCTTGCTGGTTTTGCGCTCTGGTCTTCTGTGGGAACAAACTGAGCGCAATGGCTTCTGAGTCCTCGAGCCCTTACGGTGCAGCCGCAGCACCGCGGGCACCCTGGTCACCACCCGGGTGTTATGTGACTTAATTTTCCTTCTGTCTTGTTTGCCATTGCAACTTCAAATTTTATCTTTAGAGGTGTAAAGCTTTAAACATAAAAAACTTGGAAAAACATCTTGGCCCAGTTAAAATTCTCAAAGTTCTTTTGCCATAAAAAACCGCATGCCTTGCTTTTCTTTTTATATCATAGTCATTGAAACTTAATTTGCTGGCTTTTCAGAATTGGAGACTTCCTTTCCCCAAAGAAAGGCATCCAGTCCGTCTTCATTACGCAATGAAAATGGCCTGGATGTGGAGCCAGCTGAGGAGGCAGTGATTCAAAAACCTCGAAAAAAGACAAAGTAAGAATGTATTTGCCTTCTAGATAGTGCCCAGGGGTACCCTCAGGCTTAGTTTGGAGCTATCAAATGGTGGTTTTCCCTGAAGTCTTAGTGTAAGTACTTACTGTAGCTGTATGTAATGTTACAAAAATATCAGTGAGACCAATCTAGAGGTTAATTTGAGAAGAATAAACCACAGAGTAAAAGAAAATATTCTTAAATTAAAATATCTTTGGAGTTGACACTAAAATTTAGATATGTAAGATTTTACATCAGCAACAAGAAAAAGTAAAGATAATGTTAATAAAAAATAGGCTATTATGACTTCTTGTCTCATGTTTACAGAATTTAAACTATTTCAGCACTATGTATTATATATATAATTTATATTTAACCTAGGAAAATAAGCTAGGAGTTATATAACACTGTGGTTTTTTTCCCCTGTGGCATAGTGGTTATGCAGGGTCAGCAGTCTGAAACTACCAGCTGCTCCGCAGGGGAGACGAAGCTTTCTGCTCCCATGAAGAGTTACAGGGTCAGAAACCCACAGGACAGTTCAACCGTGTTCGAGTCCACTCAGTGACAGTGACTTGAGTTTCATTTGAAAGTGGCTCTACCAATATTGATCAAGTATCTTATCTAGAGAGTCATTAGTTTTAAATCTAAAAAGGACCTTAAAATCTAATTAAGTTACTTCATTTCCAGAGGTGAGGACTAAAGTGGACAGAAATCCAGATGATGTGCTGCAGAGAACCATAGTTAAGACTGGATCCATAGTTGTAACAGAAATGTCTTGTGGCCAAGTTAAGGGCTCTTTCCCTGATATTCACAGTCACTTTGTGTTGTGGGTCTGTACAAACTCAGTCATTACTATTCCTCTTACATCCTCCCTGACTGCAGGAAGACGAAGCCACCAGAATCACAGTATGCCAATGAGCTAGGCGTGGAAGATGAAGACATAATTACTGACGAGCCAAACAGTGTAGAGCAGCGCACTGTCTTCACTGCCCCCACTGGCACCAGCCAGCCTGTGGGCAAAATATTTGTGGAAAAAAGCCGTGAGTACTTCCTGGTTTTGAACATGAGCTATTTAACAATCAAACAAGACCATCCTTTGACCAAGGAATTTGAATGAAGGAATTAAATTGAAATATGAACAAAAATTATACGCAAAGATAAACATCACCGTATTATTCATGCGTCTGAAAATCAGAAAACAGCCAACATAGGGAATAGGAGGATAATTTTAAGTTAAGGTGTCTCTATGTAATAAAATATTCTGTACCATTAAACACTGTTTAGGGAACATTTTCAGAAACAGATCCCAATGAAAAGCGATATCACACACCTACACACACGCACACACCAGTAATTTCAACCTTAGAAAAATGTAGAGGTCAAAAAGGCTAGACAGAAATATCAAAGTATTAATGCAGTTTGCTTTTCAGTTATAAGCTTTTGGTTGATTTTAAAAATCTTTGCACCTACTCCTCATATATTCTTTATTTTACTTTCCCATTTTTTACCATTGATGGTGGTAGGAGAGCAGGTGGTTGATAAGTAAAAAGAAATGAGGGAGAATAACTGATGGTACCACCATCTATTTAAGAAACAACACTACAGCAATGTTTTTGCTGAGAAAATGGTTCTGACATTGGGTGGCATAGACTGTTGAGAAGACAGTGCACTGTAGTATTTAAGACAAATCCAGAGCATGGTGTGACCATGCTCTATCCCTATAGATGAGCTGCTCCAAGAACAAGTGTGAACCAAAAGTTAGCTTTAAACTTGCCATACGGAGTGAGGGTCTTAGCATCTTGATTCCCACCTGAGGGATTCTGGCATTCTAGCCAAGGTAGGCTGAACTGACTAATCCAGGGCCCCACTGTTGGGTATGTGAAAGGCTTTTAGACTTCATTCTGGGTTGAAAATTTCACGGTTATATTTCATGAAATAGAATTGTTTTCTAAAACAATTGCTTTAGCATCTACTCTCGGTTCATCAGAAAGTGCATGGACATTGTTTATGTTTCATGAAAGTGAAAAAAATGTACCATGTTCAAGCAAAAAAAAGAAAATCCCTTTAGGATATAGGGACTGAGATAAAGGGAACTTTCAGATAGAAAAACAGCAGAATTTCCATCTGTCTAAGGGTCTAAAATGTAGAAATGTAAAAACAACTGCCAAGCACCCTCTTGCTGGGCATTGATCGTTGTGTGTTCTCAGGGCGGTTCCAGGCCGCGGATCGGTCAGAGCTGATAAAGACCACAGGAAATGTAGAAATGTCCATGGACATGAAGCCCTCCTGGACGACTAGAGATGTGGCTCTCTCCATACACCGGGCTTTCAGGTGGCTCTTTCTGCTGAACTTTCCTTAAAACAAATGTTAAAGTAGGCTCCCTATTAAAAAATAAGTCATGGTTGTTCAATACTGTTAATAAAACACCTACGATAATGTAGGTTTTTTTAAAAAATGAATTGATCGGTATAGCAAAAAATAAAAGACTTGTTTTCTTCTGAAAGGTTGAATTTTAGTCTTACGTAAAGAGTTTTAAAACTTGGCTGTGGCATTTCACGTTAGTAACTTCTGTATGCCGGTTATGGACTTGTGTTCTTTCAGGATGCTTGGTCTCTTTTCTCACGGCTTCTTGGCTGGCTGTGCCGTGTGGAATACTGTTGTGATATATGTTCTGGCAGGAGATCAGCTCTCGAACCTTTCCAACTTTCTGCAGCAGTACAAGACTTTGGCCTATCCATTCCAGAGTCTCCTCTACTTGCTTTTGGCTCTAAGTACTGTCTCAGCTTTTGACAGGTAAGCCTCTTGCGGCTGCAGATTCCCCTAACTTCTCTTTAGGAGGAAATGCTGAACTAAATGGATCATGGACTCACTATTTCAAAATAGTGAAAATCCTCACCACCGGACCAGCGAGCAGAATCGTGCTAAACGGAGGAGATGTGAGGTTGTCAAGGATTTCATTTTACTTGAATCCACCACTAACGCTTCTGGGCAGCAGCGGTCAAGAAACCAAGGGACATTGCCCATTGGGCAAATCGGCCACATAAGACAAGCCTTTGACAGTGTTAAGAGCACAGGTGCCACTTGGGAGACAAAGGTGCAGCTAATCTCAGCCGGGCTGTGTGTAATCTCTTCCTTTGCATATGAAAACTGGGCAATACTAAGGAAGAGTTGAGAAGAATGAATGCCGTTGTACTGTGATATTGGCAAAGAATATTAAGTATATCTCGGACTTCCAGAAGAATAAACACATCATTGAAAGTACAACCCGACTCAAATAGACAGTAACGGTTTGGAAAATGATGATGACAATGTCTGTCCAAATATACTTGGTTCAACTGATATATGGAATGTTATAAGAGCTGTAAAAGCCCCCAATAAAATGATTTAAAAAAAGAGTAGAAAGAAAATGTTTTGAAAAAGATGACAACATATGTACAGATGTGCTTGACACAATGGATATATGCATGGATGTGATAAGGGCTGTAAGGGCCCCCAACAAAGAGAAAACTAAAAAAAAGAAGATAAAGAGCAGAGAAAAGGAGAACGTACAACCCGAATGTTCCTTAGAAATGGAACTGGTGAGACTTCATCTTTCTTCCTTTGGACAGGTCATCAGAGGGACCAGTCCCTGGAAATCAGCTTGGTCGGGAATCCACAGCCAGCAGAGAGGAGGACCCTCAACAAGACGGGTCCCTGCAGTGAAGACAGCAGGGACTCCAGCACAGCAGTTGTGGGGCGGGACAGGCAGTGTCGCGTCCTGGTGTACACAGATCGGGCGCTGAGTCCGAATGGCCTTGCTGGCACCTAACAACATCCTAAAACATGCACTACACAGACGGCCACGGAGTCTTCTCCAACTCAGCACCCACGGGACAGACTCGACCTGCCCTGCTGGGTTTCCAAACAGTCCCTCTTAATGGGAGCAGAAAGCCGCCTCTGCCGAGGAGTGGTTTGTGGGTTGGAACTATGACTTTGCTGTTAGCTATCCAATAACTCACTAAATCACCTAACAACATCAAACATCTTGTTTTGACTTAAAAAAAACTTACACTGTTCTTCTTTTGGGGCAAGGATACAACTACTTTGGACTAAAACTTCCTTTTTTTAAACTAAAACTTCTGTGATATCAGGATTATTAAAATCAGGATCAGATAAAATTTCGTTTTTACCCCTAGGACTTAACACCAAAAGAATGCTTGAAATAATCTTCTAGTTAATTGTTTTTTGTTTTTTTTTAAATCATTTTATTAGGGGCTCATACAACTCTTATCACAATCCATACACTCATCAATTGTGTAAAGCGCATTTGTACATTCATTGCCCTCATCATATTCTCAAAACATTTCCTCTCCACTTAAACCCCGGGCATTAGGTCCTCATTTTTCTCTTCCCTCCCCCCTCCCCCCTCCCTCATGAGTCCTTGATAGTTTATAAATTGTTATTTTGTCATATCTTGCCCTGTCCGACGTCTCCCTTCACCCACTTTTCTGTTGTCCGTCCCCCAGGGAGGAGGTCACACACAGTTCCACGTAATCGGTTCCCTCTTTCCTACCCATTCTCCCTTTACCCTCCCTGTTTCGCCATTCACACCACTGGTCCTATAGGGCTCATCCGCCCTGGATTCCCTGTATTTCCAGTTCCTATCTGTACCAGTGTACATCCTCTGGTCTAGCCAGACTTGCAAGGTCGAATTCGAGTCATGGTAGTGGGAGTGGGGAGAAAACATTTAGGAACTAGAGGAAAGTTGTATTTTTCATCGTTGTTACATCGCACCCTGACTGGCACCCTGACTGGCTCGTCTCCTCCCTGAGACCCCTCTGCAAGGGGATCTCCAGTGGCCTACTAATGGGCTTTGGGTCTCCACTCCGCACTCCCCCCATCATTCACTATAGTAAGATTTTTTGTTCTGATGATGCCTTATACCTGATGCCTTCGACACCTCGTGGTTGCATAGGCTGACATGCTTCTTCCATGTGGGCTTTGTTGCTTCTGAGCTTGATGGCCGCTTGATTACCTTCATTGTTTTGTACGTCATTTGTAAATAAGATATTCTAATGATGTGAATTGTAAACTAATATCTGAAAGCCTGGTACTCCACGATTCGTGTCTGGACAGCAGAGATGAAATGTGGAGGCAGAGTAAGTTCTGTCAGTTTTCAGCTGACAGTGACAAGGCTTTTGTGTTCCCAGAATCGACTTTGCTAAGACATCGGTGGCAATCCGGAGTTTGCTTGCCTTGGATCCAACCGCTTTAGCATCTTTCTGTAAGTAAATAGTTTCATTCTACAATGATATTAACCTTGAGTTACCTGTAATTGTGAGCCAGGAAAAATAGAATTTTCATTTCTACTTATAAACGTTATTTATAGATGTCCAGTGGAATTTGTAATTTTAGAAATGCACGACAGGCATAATTTTAATCCAATTATTTTTAATACAGGTTGATCTAAGTACTTGTAAAAATTAAATATCTTTATAATACTTAGATGAGGAGCCCTAGTAGTGTAGTGGTTACAAGTTGGGCTGCTTCCCACAAGGTCAGCAATTTGAAACCACCAGGTGCTCTGAGGAGAAAGACGAGACTTTCTACTCCTATGAAGAGTTACAGGTTCAGAAACTCGCAGGGACTGTTCTATCCTATCCTGTAGGTTCACTATGAATCAGAATCCCCTATGGCAGTGATTTAGTTATTATTTTTTCTTTGCTTAGTAATACTTAGATTGAAGTTTTTAGCTTTAGTACTTTCTACCTGACATTAAGCAGTCTCTGCTAGTATTGCTTTTCAGTAACAAACATTTTTTGATAATTTGGATACATTGGTTCTTAGTGATAAGAATTCTAATAAAGCTGGTTTTAGTACCTTCAGGAAATCATTTAATTTCTCAAAAGATGTAGGCTCTTGGCAATTCTAATGTGCATCTTGAAAGACTTGATCCCCTCTATTCTTGAAAATTACTATTTTGCTATCAGTCTACTGAAGTCAATTCATTCTTTTATACCTTACCACAATACAGATAATTTTTGTCTTTAATGTAATCTATTAATTCAAAATAAAGTGGATTATTGCAAACACATTGTTAGTAATTGTTTGTCTTTGTCTTAGTGTACTTCACTGCTCTGACCCTATCTCTGAGCCAACAAATGACAAGTGACAGGATCCACCTGTACACACCTGCCTCTGTCAATGGGAGCCTCTGGTAAGACTTCACAGCAGCATTCCCAACTGTTGGTGGTAATAACAACAGTGGAGACCATCTCTTCTTAACCTCCCTAGTCTGTTACAGGGATTCGTATATTAGTGGAGGCCCTGTTTTTGTTTCTGAAAATAGGGCAAGAAGATACCGATGCTGCTAGTTGGGTGGGCAGCTCTATTTTTAAGGACATGCCTTCTTCCTAGAAATCTGTTTAGATGCACAAGCTGTGGTTTTTAAAATAGTCATCACAAGATGGGCTGCAGGGGCCCTGCACTCTCACCGGAGTCAGGGACCCTAACCCCTCAGCACGGGGGCAGGTCGTGGTTGCTGGGATAGACTCAGAAGCCAAGCAGTAGCCGATCAGAGCAGCCACGAAGCCGACAAGGTGGCTGAGGTTCCAGTTCACAGACCTCAGAGGGGCAGGACTAAGGTCCAAGAGGGAAAGGAAATAGTATTGCTTTCAAGTTCTAGTTCACATGCATGAATTTATTCCAAGTAAACGTGTTTCTAAACATGTCTCTTTGATTAGCGCATGGCTGCTGACATGTTCTCTTAGTAATACACTTGTCTTACTTAGTCTTGTTTTGGCTTTTAAAAAATTAAAACCTGGTTTCTGAGGGAATCCGCTGTGTCAGTTACATTTAAGTCAGAGACGTCAGCTGAGAGGGCCATGACTTTCTCGGGCTGCAAAGGGCTGCTCTTGGAACTTCTTTGGAAGAAAGATTTTTTAAATTGAAAACTGCATTGATGAGCAAAAGGCAGGGGAGATTGTGCTGAAGAGCGTTTCCTGTCGGGATGGTGCACACTTCTGTTCTTTGAGGTAGCAGGGGGGTGCTATGAGAATTTCATTTGGAAACTGTCCTCATCCACCCTGAATCCCTGGGCTCACCCCTTCAGACTGACTTTTTGTTTCCCAAACTCAAAGAATGTTGACAAGGAACACAACTTGGGTGCCGGTGGGATGCCCAAACTGCCATTTTGACATAGTGTAATTCCGAGGGCAGAATCCTCCGGGGAAGGGCTAGAGAGATGGAAATACTGCCTCCGAAGCACATAGACCAGGTGGAGGATATGTCAAGGAACTGTGGCTGTATGTTTAAAAATTTTTGTTTAATAAAAAATTTTCTGATTTTGTAGCAACCTCTTTTATTTCCCCTCAGATATCCTCATTGAGGAATAGAGCTATGGTAGTGGGAAGGGAGACTTATGGAAATCTCTTTTTTTTTTAGCACTCCTACGTTTCCAGTAATGTGCAAAGCACATCTGTGGAAGGTTAGCTACAGATCTGCTGGGAGCTCAAACATAAAAACTGGGCTGTGTTTCGTTCTGTTGTGCACAGCGGCGCTATGAGTCGGAACCGGCTCCACGGCACCGAGCAACAACAAAGTTCTCACAATGTGGTTCATTTTGTAGGGAAATTATATTGTGTTTCATGCTTGTTACTTCTCCATGAGCGGACGGCTCTTCTGTTTAAAGTAGACAGAGTACCCATATTTAGACATCGGAGCCCAAAGAAGGATGCTTCTTTTTTTCTTTTTAGAAGGATGCTTCTAATGAGTAGTTCTCTATCCTTAGGGCAGCCGGAACTGAGGAGCAGATTCTGCAGCCGTGGATGGTGGTGAATCTGGTGCTAGCTCTGCTGGTTGGATTGTCCTGGCTCTTTTTATCTTATCGGCCTGAGATGGATCTTAGTGAAGGTATGAAAAAGGGAAACAGACTATCTTGAAGACTTCTTAATGGTTTATAAGTCATCGTTTATGGCTTATTCTGAGAGCAAACGCACATTGAAAACAAAACAACTCCAAAAGAGTGAAAATGACAAGTAGAAAGAGAACGGCGAGCGAAGTGGGCAGAGTGTCTACCAGAGGGAGGCTGTGGGAGAACTCAGAGGGCCTCCTGGGACTCGGGTGCCCTTTTGGGACCCGAGTTTCTCATCTTCTAACTCTTCAAGTCCTTTACAGAAAGTCTGGACTCTTCACTTCCCTTACCCCCTCGGAGCGACATGTCTTAGTAAAACAGATGATTTCTTTGCTGTTGCTTCTCTGCCAGATACATATTCAAGTGAGTTATTCTCACCTCCTTTCCTTGGCAAAAGGCCTTCACCCTGCATGGTCTAATGCAGTGTTTAGTGCTCCGACCCTTGCTGTGCCCTATATGCAGTTGTGGGGTGGAGGCACGGCAGGGGCAGTCTCTAGTCCCCCACCCCTTTGGAACCCCTCTGAAGCCAAAATATCATCCGAGCAACCTGCTAGTCATTTAGTACTGCTTCGGAAACGGCTTAGCATTTTTAGTGTAAGTTGTATTTCCTTGGCAGATGCTCCTCCTTTATACCCTTCAATCACTTTTATGGATATTCTCTGGGCGTTAGTTCACTACTTTAGCCTTGATTTTTTTGCATATCCTGAAGGTTTAACTACAATGTGATCAACTAATCACAACCTGTTTCAGAATTGAGAACCTACCATTTTCACTTAAAAGGAAAATCAAGACAGAATGTATTCTCCTTGTATATTTTCATTCGTAATGAAAATGATTAGTATGTTGCCCCTGGAGTAGCTTTATGATTTATTCTTTTTGCTGTGTTTAAAATATTTGAAAACAGCTTAAGCTTTATGTGTTTTTCTGGGGTTTTTTTTTTCCCGTCATTTTTTTTTAATTGATTAGATTCTTAATTTTTTCCCTATATTTCTTGGTGCTTAGATAAAGGAATTGTTTCTATAAGCAGCAGTTTAAATATGGAAGCATCAACAAATACATTCTCTGCTGTGGTTGGGCTTAAGGCTGCATTCAGCTGGTGTGTGCCATATTCAGTCTAAATCACAAAATGTGTGTGTGTGATTTACTGTCATCAGATGGGGGATGGGGGGCTCTCTGACATCCTCTGACCTCACAAGGGCTGGAAGGAAGGAGAATGAAGCACATTAGGCCAAGATGGGATTCCTCTGAGGCTGAGCCAGACACAGACACCCTCCCTCCAACCTTCCTCACCGTCCCTCCCACAGAACTCTCTTCTGCTGGGTTCCACAATCCACTGCAATGGCCACACAGAACTCAGACCGCTGTACTCGCGGTTATGAGGTTGACTAGGGAAGTAACAGTTTGCAGTCTTTTTCTGTGGTTAGGAAAGCCTCCTCGGCTGTGTCCACAGGGACACCTCTCTGGTCCTTGGCTTCTGACCCACTTGGCCCATTGGCCTCTACCCTGTTACATGCTGCTGATAAATGCCCAAAGGGTGGGTCACTCCACCATAAACCTCAGTTTGAAGGTGCTCGAGCTCCATGTATTAGCAAACCCAGGTTCTCTAATGAAGTGCCTGGAGGTATTTCCCTCCAAAGCCAAGCCTCCAGCCCAAAGGCACTCAACTTACTCACCCCAGGGGCTGGGAAGCCGCCTTCTCTTTGTGTCCTGCACTGGCTCTTGGTTCTCCTGCTGGCCTCCTCTGCCTTTGCTCTGGTCTCATAGCTGTCTCCTGGATCAAGAAGGGTCACTGCAGGTGTCTCGGGATCCAAAGGACTCAGCCCACTCCCTGCTGTCTTCCTTGATGGTAGTGAGATCCTTTCTTCCTCCAAAATTGACAGAGCCCTACATTAGAGTTCCAGGTTTTTATAATCACACTTAATGCTGTTAACAATCACACCTGGCTCATATAATCCTATCAGCATCATTCCTATTCTCATCCCAGCCCTGTCAGGAAAGAGAGGCAATACATTTGATTTGTCTGATCCCAATCAGTTGTTGGGTACGAGGTGCAAGAACCGTGGCTGGAAGGGGCAGATCAAGTCCTTCACTGTGCCACACTGGCCAAGTCAGGCGTGCTCAAACTGCGGCCCGCGGGCCACATGCGGCCCACTGAGGACATTGATCCGGCCCGCCGGCTGTTTTTGCCCCGTTTGTTTTTTTTACTTCAAAGTAAGATATGTGCAGTGTGCATAGGAATTTGTTTATAGTTTTTTTTTTAACTATAGTCTGGCCCTCCAACGAGTCTGAGGGACAGTGAACTGGCCCCCTGTTTACAAAGTTTGAGGAGCCCTGGAAGTGTTCCAGATCTGGTTCTCTTCTAGGCCCTGTGATGATATAACTGTTGTTTCTGTGTGGATTAAAAGTGATTGTAAAAAGGACGAGCTTACCTAACTATTGGGTTGCTACAGTGGTTAAATGGGATAACACCTTTACGATATCCTGACACACACCTGAGACAGTTCCAAGCCCATCCTCAGTGTCTGTCCCCTACGCTCTGTGACGATCATGATAGAATCAGACATGTTAGCTGTAATGATCTTTATCTTCATGGACTGGCTAAGTGACTTAAATTTCCCGCTAAAATTTGGTTGGCTGCTACTGAATGATTTATTTTTGGGGTCATTAAAAGTATAAAACTAAAACATTTGAAAATGTACAATGTGTACATTTATCATTAACTCATCTTTTAAGTCAAGTCTGTGAAGAAATTTTACTTGTTCTTGATGACTGAATACTGTTATTATCTATTACATAAATATTGAAGAGTGTTTTAATCCTCAGCCAGGCAGCTCTTTCTGGGGCTCGGGAACCGTCAGGGTGATCTGTGCATCTTCTTCCACAGAGCTGATGTTCTCCTCGGGTGTGGAAGAGTCTCCTGCTCAAGGCCCAAGGACCAAAGGCTCCGCATAAGACCAGCTCACCTGCAGAATAAGGATGACCCAGTATTTATAAACTGTCTCCTTTTTAAAATGTATTTTTATAAGACTTGTCTGTGTATTTGTAATTGATTTTTTGATTAATACTGAAAATTTTCTCAAGATGATGGAAAATGTTGAAATTATATCTGCTATTTATACCCAAACAGTAATTTTTATAGCTTTGTCATCTTAATGCAAAGGTGGTAATAGATAGAAATTAGCAAGTGAAAGTGCTTATTTTCTCTGATTACTTGAATTTATAATCATTATCTTAAAAGAACTAATGTAGAAAAACCATAATTTTAGTATTGTAAAATGTATCAAGTTTAAACATAAATTTGGGGAGGAGTGTTGGAGGGGAAAAAAAAGACATTTTTATTTATTTTTGATGTCTCTTTGCAGAATAAATTGAAATATGACATTTATCTTTTTTGAAACTGGCTTGGTGATTGTGTATCATGTCATGATTGCCATGATTTTAATGTCATCCGTCTTGGAGGTGTTTTACTTCATAGCTAATAAAAGTTTTGTTGCCTAAAAAATTTATGTCCCTTTAAAATCTGTACCAGTGGTTGACACACCTGGTTGCTCACCAGAATAGTTTAGGGAGCCTTATTCAGCAAAAGAAAAACGGAGCTCCCCCAAGAGCCCAGGAGAATAAAGGGGAGGGCTGGCAGGGCTTGCTGGTCTAATGCTCCCAGCTGGTCTCTGCAGCGCCTTGCCTCCTTTCTGCGTGACAAGAACTGGGTAGAAATTCACCAGACCTCTTCTCAGGCTCTGTGCCAGAAAGGTTTCTTGCTCTCAAGGAAGTCCCAGTCTGAGGGAGACTCCTACACTGGAAAAGGCCCCTCAGCCCTGTGTCCTGTGGTGTGTCCACTCTGTGCTAGTTCTATGAAGCCCTAGAATTCAAGACCATCCTAAGACTCAGTCTGGAGAAAGATGCCTTCCGGGCTAAGGAAGCGGTGTCTGCACTCGGAAGAAGGGGAATCCAGCTCCACATCCGCCTGCATTACTCTGACCACAGGGTTCCTCGGAGCAGAGAACTCCTGACTGGTTCAGGGGGGCCTCATGTGGATCTGAACCCTTGGCCAGAAATAGCTCAAATTTCCAAGAGGTTTACCTCCTAACCAAGCTGCCTTTGGACCAGAAAGTACCCCCGGCTTCTCAAGCACTAGCCAGTGGGGTAGGCTTTTTTTCCTGATCTCAACATAGGCAGCCCATGAGATCAGAGCAAAACTTGAAGGGCTTCTAGCTCGTGACTCCCGTCTGTTTTTTGATTTAAGGTTCACATATTATCTGAGTAGTTGTTCAGGGGTTTATTAGCCTTCGATAGCCCCAGATAGTCTGGTGTCGATGAGAAAGTGGCATTTATTTATGCATCCTCACCCTTTGGATTAGAATTCTTTAATGGCTATGACATTTTAAAATCAAAAGCCTTATTGAGAAAACTAAGAAAAATACAGAGAAAATTATTGTATAATTTGCCAGTTTTCCACAATGCTGGCATTTTTCTTTTTTCTTTTTGCTGGCATTTTTCAAAGCGATGGTATAATTCTCACAACTGGACCAATAGATCAATGTAAATGGAGAAAAGATTGAAGTTGCCAAGGATTTTGTCTTGCTTGGATCCACAATCAGTGCTCATGGAAGCAGCAATCAAGAGTTCAAATGATGCACTGCACTGGATAAATCTGCTGCACAAGACCTTTAGAGTGTTGAATAGCAAAGATGTTACTTTGAAGACTAAGGTGTGTTGGACCCAATCCATGGTACTTTCAGTCACCTCATATGCATATGAAAGTTGGACACTGAATAAGGAAGACTTAGCTGGTCCGATGGTAGTGGGTTATTAATTTATAATAAGTTAGAACTTATTAACGTTAGTGTCACTAAAGTTGGTATACAAACCCCCCACTGCTGAATTTGACTGGCTTAAAAAAAAGAAGAAGGAAGACTGAAGAATTATGGTGCTAGCAAAGAATACTGAAAGTACCATGGACTCCCAAAAGGACAAACAAATTTGTCTTGGAAGAAGTCCAGCCAGAATGCATCAGACACAAGGATGGCAAGACTTCATCTCAGGTACTTTGGACATAATGTCAGGAGAAAGCAGTCCTTGGAGAAGGACATCATGCTTGGTAAAGGAGAGGGGCAGCGATAAAGAAGACGGCCCTGACAAGATGATTGACACTGTGGCTGCAGCAATGGTCTCAACCACAGACAATGGTGAGGATGGTGCAGAGTTTCATTCTGTGGTACATAGGGTCACTATGATTGGGAACAAACTCAATGGCACCTAACAACAGCAAGAACTGTTTACTGTCAAGGAGTCCCGGTGGCACAGTGGGTTATGTGTTGGGCTACCAATGGCAAGGCCAGCAGTTCAAAGCCACCAGCCTCTTCTAGGGAGAAACATGAGGCTATCTACTTCCATAAAGAGTTAGTCTCAGAAGCCCACAAGGGTTCTGTCCTAGAGGGTCACCACGTGTCAAAATTGACTCAATGGAAGTGAGTTTCACTTTTTTTTTCTTTCTGGTAATTGAATGCCCAACTCTTTACTAGAGTGGCGGCACCATTTTGAATTCCCCAACTTCTTGTTTCAGAGTCCAAACCTTTTGCTTTTAGAATACTGTAAATACAGCTTAGATGATATGTCTGATTTTCTTCCTCATGTTGTTCCTCAATTTCCTGAACTTTCTGTAAACCAGTGATTAGATCTGTATGCTTGATTAGATTTAGATGGAATATTTTTTAAAACCCACCAAGATTATTTCATGTATGATACTGTGTAGTTTACACTGCATTGCATGAACCTCAAGGAAGCCGTTGTGTGCTGGTGGGCAACACATTTCACTGGCATGGTGATTAAATGCCACCCAGCACAATCACAAAATGACCACAAACATGTATTGAGGGCCTTGGGCTAAGGGGTCATGCATACTGAAGAGCTCAAGGTGAGATTAAGTCCTCGCTCCCAAAGAACTCTAGTGGAATTAATCCTTAATTCGAATAGCCTGAGACCACTAGTAGGGCTGTGCCATATGGTAGCTTGGAGACAGTCACTCATTCTGTCTTTTGGGTATGTGTATGGAGTTACAAGACTTAAGTGAAAGTGAATAGTTACTTAAAAGCTCATGAGGGCCTTCTTGGGTGCAACTATTGGCCTCTCTCTATCCAGAGGAAAGAAGAGTGATGAAAACAGAAACCGCATGGAAACATTTAGGACAATGGACTGATGGACATTAGTATTAGTCTTCCACCACCCTGCAATCAAAAGAACCAGATGGTGCCTGGCTACTACGATGAATTGCTGTGAAAAAGGATCACATTAGAAGGCCCTGGATCGAGTGGCAGTAAAATGTAGAGCGAAACTCAAAATCGTGAGAACGACCGGGCTTACTGGTCAGATAGAGATTGGTGGGACTCCCAACACGATGGCCCTTAGTCACCTTTCAGCTCTGGAAGCGAAGTCACCCCCGGGGTTCAATTTGTAGCCTTAATCATTGACAGGGTGATAGGGGAACAAAAATAAGAGGTATGAACACACTTAGAATAATTGGTTATTTCAGACGAAAAAACTTTACCCAAGGACAAAGTTTCACATGGCTAGGAAAGTAGAAATGGAAACAGGAGGGAGCGGGATGAATCATACTGCATTGAGGATACTGCAGTCAGCGAGATGAAACCACACGTGTGAGTCGTTGAAGGGAAACGGATGATCTACTCTG